TGTGACAATCTAAAGGATTTATTGTATTTATGAAATTGTTAAATTTACGAATAAATATAAAAAATAATTTAATTGATTTATTTTATTTTTAATTTCATATCATAAAACATTTGATTTAAGTGATATATACCAACAGATTAAACTAACAAGCCACAGAAGTAGATTTAAAAATCAAAAAAAAAATTTATCAAAGTCAGAAGTATGTTAAGACAGTTTATTGATCTAAGTTTTATATTGATTTCGAAAACTATCGTATCTTTAGGTCGTTTGGTGTTTGTTGTAAAGTTTTAAGTACACAACACCCTTATATATTTATATTACATTATACACTTACTACATATTATATACTCTTATAACTCATACATACTCTGTACATAGTACATTTTTATATTAAAATAAAGTCAGTTATTTCTAAACAGCACAGTGTTATTGTTTAACCAAAAAAAAAATTAATTTACTAATAATTAACAATTAATTCGTATTATGCCTTTTTTGTATTAAAAAAAGCAAGGTTTTTAATCTATTATATGTTAAAAAAGTTATATGGATTTGAAGTAGACACAAATTTTGTGAAACCTTAAAATCACCTAATGTTCATAAAATTTCAAATAACTCAAAAATAAAATTTCTTAAAATTCCAAGTAAGTCAAAAATTGTTAAATTAAATCAATAAACCACCCTACACACACTTTTTTGCATTACTATATACTCTTATTTGTGTAATAAACATAGGTGGAATAAAAAAAGTAACAAAACCTTTTAAAAATAGTCGAAACCCTTTCATAAAAATTTTGTGTGAAGCGACAGTTGAAGTGGACGAGAGGTCACAAAACTTTTCGGGTTTTATTGACATAGTATAGATCAATAAGGACCTTTATAAGTACTAATAGAACCTATTACGTATTCCGTACTTTGTACTTCATTTTTCGAGATATTATAGTTTTATATATATTTAAAAGAAATATAAAGTTGACCGATAGCACATAGGTAGGCCGATAGCACATAAAGTATATTTAAAAGCATTTTAAAAGCACTATTTAAGAACAACGTCACTTTATTATTTGTAGTGTTCCAGCAAGCTAATGCCATACATACAAAAGAAAGTCTATTTTAAAAACTGTTTTTAAGAAAAATTTCTTATTAATATAGAATATTGAGTATTGATCAGTTAATCTTAATTATAACATATATTAACACTTGTTCTTATACAAGACATCCGAAAAAAAATATTAAACATATTTATACATATTTAAAAACATATTTAAAATTCAAGAGCAATGGAATTGTCAAATCATCATCCTCTTTATAGTTTTATTAATACAAATGGATTAAATATAATAATATCTACTATTATGTATTCGTAAACATTGCCAAATTTTTTTATGAACACAGTATATATGAAACTTTCCCATATCTTTGGCATATCTTAAGTGCCGATTGAATATTCAACTGTGTTAACCCCACATATATCATAAGCTTAGTATTTGCTGTAATTTCATTACAGTTTGTCATGATATCACTTAACATTAGTCATTTAACAGCCTATTATTCTATCATCCTATTATTCTACCAGTCTATTGTTCTATCAGTCTATTACTCTAACAGTCTTTTATTCTAGCAGCCTATTATTCTACCCGTCCATTATTCTTCCAGTCTATTATTGCAACAGCTTATTATTCTACCAGCCTATTAAAAATATGTTACAATAGAAAATATAATTTTAATGTACAAACATATGAAGTCTTCAATATAGTAAAAAATTTTGATTGAATTAATTTATCATATCCAATCAGAAAGCCTTGACAGAACGGTACTCGATTCCTATATTATTGCAGTTATAACATTTTAAATATATTTAATTAAATATAATATTTTTGGCGTAATGCAAATATCAGTAAAATACGTTTACTATTTTTATTACAAGTAATTTTTTAAGTACTTCAAATATTGTTACATTTATGATAATATTTTACATAAAAACTATTCGTAATCTGAGGAGTCATAACAATAAAGATAATAAAAGGCTTAACTCTTGGCATAGTTTTATAGTTTAATTTAACATAAATTTTGTAGTTCTTCTACTTTATGCCTTTTATAAAATTTATAGCAAAAATACTTAGTGTCTGGCCATAAATTTATTTGCAAACAACAAAATTGATATGTTTTCATTTTTCTGTCTCAGCCCCTAACCCATGAACTAGCACGATTACATGAAAATACGTAGTAGGAGCATTGCCAAACATAATCACAGAAGTCTTCCCATTGCTTGTCTATCGGTGTGTAGCACTTCCTATTCCCATACTTCTATGGCATAGTTGGTCGCATTCGTACAGTTTCCATTGCAACTTATGCCGAGTGAATGTATCTGAACTTGCCATTTCATTTGATTTATGCTTTGTTTTTGCAAAAGACACCACCAGCAAAATATGAAATACATAAAATCGAATCAAATGCTATAAATAGGAACGATACAAGTACAGATTTCACCGCAGCGTTGGTGCCTGTGGTTGTGGTGGTTACTGTGGCTGCGGTACCTCACCTCAAGTGCCAAGTGCTTAGCATTTTGAGGGTTTCGGTTTGGGTTGTAGACAATTTTGAAGTATCTTGACCGAGCATTAAATTTAATTTGTTTTTAATTAAAATTGAAACTTATCAAGTGTTAACAATTCTTCTTCTTCCGTTAATGGTGTGTTAACTGTTGCACATTTAAAATCTAAAATAAATACTTTTTGTTTTTTTATTCACATTTTCCCATAAATATTTACAAATTGTTAAAATTAGTAATTTCATCAAATAATTAAATTACCATTAGAAAAGTAATTAAATAAAATGCTAACGAGACTACTTCAATACTTCTAGAACAGATTATTAATTCGAATAATAAAAATCATATATTCATACCTCACATTATTATATGAGTAATTAAAACTTGTAAAACGTGAAGAAAAAAAAAATAATTAAAAATTATAATTTTAATATATTGCCTATCTTTATAAACTTAATATACCATTTATTTAATATTTAATTCATTAAAAATAAACTCCTATCTCTAGTTTGGTCAATAGCAGGAGTGTACCTAACCTCACCATTGAAAATCAAAAATTTATAATTCTCCAAACTATTTAAAATATTAACTTATAGAGCTTTATTAGTTGATTGCAGAAGCTGATCAACAGATAACCTTGCACTTCTTATAATTAGAGATTATTTGCTGGTTTAATACCATATTTCGCTTAAGAAACCTCTTTAAATAAACTGGATTTATCTTATTAAAGTTTTTAATAATTTACCAAATATTTTGTCCTTACCGTTGAGTGATACTTCAGAATGTCAAGGAAATATTCCGCTAAAAGCTTGTTCCTTCTGTTATCTAAGCAATCATAGAAAAAAACGCGTAATTCATGTTTTATTTAAAATCCCACAACTTCCACTATAAATGTTCAAAGCATTATTCAGTTTTCAAACACCAATGACCGCCTGAAAGAATAGCGGTTAGTATTGGGGTTGCCACATGATCTTATTATACGACCACGACAACTTGAATCTTACATATGTTGTGAGTGACCTTCGGCTTGTATTAGCCAGCTTAAACTCGTGTAAGGTAACATAAGTACTGTTCTTAAATGTGTCTGCAATATAAATGTACACCTTTGAAAAAGATTTTATTGGAACCCAATATCGAGCAAAACTGTGTTTCACTGGTCCTATGACTGCTAATCGAGATGGGAGTTTTTTCATTAGACACCAACATTCACTCATACCTCTCCACTCAATCGCACAGTGCCTATAAACCTAGATAGATGACACTGTAGCATAGTGCGCTCTATGTGTAAACTATGATTCCATCTCAATACTCTTATTTGGCGTGAACTAAAAATAACTAATATATTTAGTCTTTGATATCTATATATATCTCATATATTTAATAACAGCTAACATCAGAACTGGACAAAAAAGTTCAAAAAAAAAATTTCCTAAAAATATCACTGAAATCAAGCAGAACTGCTATTAATATTATTTCCTTCATCTATTTACAAAATATTTATATATTATTATTATTACAATGTATTTATATATTATACTTTGAGTAAATACATCTCTCTTAGTAAGAGCATCGAGAGGAGAAACTACTCACTAATAACACCAAAAATAGGCAAAACTTATAGATTTATTCTGAGAGATTGTTGACAAATTTTTTATAACACTATTATAGATGCGCTAATGATAAAGATAACGTTGACTTTTTTTCTTTCAAAATATAATCAATTTTGAAATAAAATTCAATAGTAAAGCATTTTAATTATTATATATATACACTAAATGTTTCTTAAAAGCTACCATATAACAATTAAAAAATCATTTCTATTTATTTTATAAATATCAAAATATTGTATTAAAAAATATTGTAAATAAAAATATTATATAAATATCAAAATAAATATTAATTTAAAAAAAATATTGTTAGTATCGATTACAGCCTACTTTTGTCTCTAGTGCATTTGTCTGCCTGCAATAACAATTATTCCAAATCCCTATGTAATATAAATCCATATCCATTTTAATCACCTATTTGGTAACGCAAAAGTTCATTGCACTCACGAAAATATATTCGAAAAATAATTCGCATTTTAAAAATTTTTACAATTTTTACCTCGGTTTTTTTTTTTTGTGTTGCCACATTTTCACAATTTCATTCAATTTTGCAGCTTACCTTCTTAACGGCATTTAAAATTCCAAAGGGACGTGGACGTTCGTAGCGCAATGCAGTTCCATGGCAATAATCGAATTTTGCCGCTGAAAAAGCCAATATTTCGCAGTTTTTGGGCATATTTTTTACCTTTTCTGCAATTTATTAAATTTTTTACGGACATAATTCAAGGGAATTGATAGTGTGCCAGTCCTGATATCGATATGAAAAATTTTTTGTAATTTTTTTTTTTGCTTTAGTGTGCTGATGAAGCCAGCAAATTTAATATATTTATTAATATATATTCGTGAACAATTTTTTATATTATAAATTAGCAGGAAATTATAAAGCTGCTATGCATTAAATTGTGATATGATAAAACCATTATAATTAATACTTCTAATAGCTTTCCATACCGCCTCCAATCTGGGTAGAATAGACTTCTATGATAGCACCATCGTTCATATTCATTGTGAATGGGGTAGCTTCATTTTTTAGGCGTTCGCCCATATAAAAAAATCTATGGTTTTCCGGTATTATTGCCTAGATATGTATACAAGATTTATTATTAAGAAAATGAAATATTTACTGATTAACTTACCATTTTTCTACAATATACTTTAATGATATCGCCGAACGTGATACATTTGGGTACTTGAATTTTCATTACATAGTTATAGACTCCCAAAACAGTTAAAGTAACTGGATCATTCTAAAACAAATATATTAAAATGCAAATATGCATTAATTGGTTTAGTAAATAAATATATACATCTGTGATTAAATACAAATTTAATATTAGTGACATACATTAATCTACAACAATTTAATATATTGTTATAATGTATATATGTTAAAGCTTTTGGTTGGCACATACATAAGAAAGTGGATATTAATTAACAAACTTTTTTGATAAAATCAATTATTCTACGCTATATATCGCTATATGTATTTGGCTTCATTCATCGGGTATTTAAGTTGAAAGTTTTAAATAAAAAACAAAAACAATTAGAAACCCCAACCTGTGAGCCTAGCTGTCAAGTGGCGTAAATACATTTTGTTTGTGTAATCAATAAAAAAATTTAAAACTATAAAAGTGGATATTTGAAGAAGCAAACCATACCGGCACATAGTGCACTAGCATAAATAATCAGTATAGCCGATTTTACCAAAAACCGAGGTGAGAATGCGAAACCTAGGAAACTATCAATGAATAAAAGTGCCAGCGAGGAGCCGCTATTTCACCATAAAAACAAAACAACGGCAAGACAGAAGTGTGCCAGGCGTACCTGGTTATTCGTTCTTAAATAACTTAATATAAAGGACCAAGTGTAAGTCATCAATACCGTTTTTGCGTTTCTAATAAAATTAAATTAAGCTAATTTATATAGTAATACAGTGCAGATAAAACAATGTTAAATCGAATGGCATATTCTAGTTAATATCACAAACAATTACATTTTAAATAACATTAAAAAAACAACTATTTCACAATAATAGAAACAAATTTTTAAAAATAATTCGTATTACAAAAAACATGACTAAAATATAGCCGCGTCGTATTGTCGACATCAATTGGAAGTTTTTTTCCAATATATTTTTTCTAATAGAAACTAATAAACTGATTCGTTCAACTTACCACCAATTCAAGTACCCGTACTTTTTTTCCTTCTCGTATTGCTATACCTAGTTTGAATTTTTGTTCAAAATTAAATTTATCCATAGCTTTAGTCACTTTGTCTGTTACGCTTAAAACACCACAAGCACTAAAACCGAGTGTAGTCGAAGCGGGACAATTAAGGAGAGTAATCGATTACTATTTATCGACTAATGAATACATATTTTCATAAATGATCAAGGTTTGTTCGGAAAATAAGTCCATTTCAATTGACATTATGATTGACATGGAAGACAACATTAGCGTACAATGTAACAGCAGCTTAAAGGTATATTCTGTAATTGTAATCTCATCACGTCTTTTCATACTTGTAAGTACCATTATTTCATAAACTTCACGACTATTGTCCTAATCAGTTCCAAATTGGAAGCAAAATTTTCTTGTAACTTCTTTTATAAAATAATAAGTCGTATTTCGAAAGAAAAAATAGAGAAATATATTTTTTATAGGATGTATAAGTCCATGGGGTTTAAAAAATATTCATATTAGACTAATTTTTAAAACGCCACATCTAGAATTATATATATATAAATTAATTGCATTTAAAAAATAATCGTTTGATTATTTTATAAATATTTGAAACAATTAAAATTGTTATTATTGTTTTTTAAAAATATACATCAAAAATTTTAATTTTTTCTTTATGAACCAATAATAAAACTTATCAAGTTTTACTTTAGAATAAAAAATTTTAAAATGGCATTATTTTTCGAAGCGATTTTAACAAAATTCATAAAATATCGCTAAATGATATCCTAAAAAATATTCTACGAAGGAATTTTATTTTTTATATTTGTAATTTGAAATTACCATTTAATTTTACTCAAAATCGAAATTTGCAAAATACCATTTTACATTATAGAAGTATTTTGAAAAAAAAAAATAAACTAATCGCGCATATCACATTCAATACATGTTTCGAAACCTAAAACTCTGTCGAAATAAATATTTTTATCGCCAGACAAATATTAATTGACGATAGGAAGGTTCAACAAAAATTTTATGAATTTTATTATAACAAATAGATGGAAATGAGATGATGTTGTGAAATAGAAGTAAATCAATCAAAAAATATATGTATATATGCACTTAAATACCTAAAAAATAACTTTATGTGCATCTTCTCAATTAACTACTAATTAGTTGTGCCGTAAGAAATCCATTTTATTATAAAAAGCAATGTATTTACTTACCTCTACCAAATTAAAAATGAAGAAAAACATCGTAAAATCCAATTGAATTTTCATCGTGAGCGTAGGGGAAATTTCATATCAATTGATACATGCATTGTGTAATTGCATTTTCTTTGTTTCTGTGCGAACTAATCAAGCTGAATTTCTATTTTCATGCTATTTTATTTGTTTATATTCTACTATATCATAACAAATGACATGTACTGCGTTCTGCCATTTATTTTCTACTTTCATTACGTCTACGACAATTAATTCAGCCTTAACCCTTTAGGTACCAATTTTTTTTTTGAAAAATTTAATGGTTATTGTTGGTTATTCATGTATTTAAATTTGTAGGCTCCGCAAAATATTAAGTTTCTTATGGTATCATTGTAATAATAACTGACACTATCACAGCCAGTAAATATTACGCTACCTTAAGGCATTCTTCGACACTGAAAGGTAAGATAAGCTATTTGAAGGAATTGAGTTGATTTGTGCAAAATAAATGATTTCTTTATCAAAACAAGGTGCTTAAAAAGAACTTGTTATAAATAAAATGAATATTGTCTTTTACATTTGATATTACCAAAATTGAAAAAACTGTATAAATCCATGAATAAACAAGAATAAAGATAACAATATTATGCAAAAATACATTAATTATCCACAAAAAAGTGTAAATTCACATATCAAAAAATGACTCAAATTTCATAACAAAAAGAACAAAATAAATAATTAAATAAAAAAAATAAAAAATAAGTAACAAAAACAAATGCAAATATAAAAGTAATAACAGCAGATAAAAGCAAAACAAAGCCATAAACATCAACAACAGCAATAGCAACATTTTATTTGCATTTTAAGTCCAACATTGCCATACCAATAAGCCAACTCGTTCGTATGAGCTCAAGTACAAGTGCACGCTGTGGTGTTGTGTGGTGTGGGAAAGCAAAAATGAATAAATTCATGCAACAACAATCTTCGTGCATTGCTACGAAAACAGTTTATTTATGCTTCGGTAAGAGAGGAACAACAACTACAAGATCTACTCTATCAACACAGCCAACTTGATTGCAACTTTTTTCGTTTTTTGTTATGTTGACGTAAGCGATGACGTTAATGGTTACGTTTTATGTTAACTGCACAGCACAGCAGCATAGTTGAGCGGCCTTTTAATTACATTTTTAGTGCCTGTGTGGGATTTTCTATTCTTCTCTCCTTGCGAATGATGCAAATTGCATGAGCAGAATGCAATGAAAGAAAGAAAATGAAATATCTACAAAATTTGCAAATATAATCTCGACTAAAGTAGGAAAGAAGTTAAAAAGCATTTAGAATATTTTGAAAAAGGAAATACCGGGATAAAATATACGGGAATAACTTAATAATATTCAAAAGTAATATAATTTTCCTTTTCTTATAATCACGTTTAGCCACGATTTTTATAATGAAATTTATATTGAGTTTATGTAAGTGTAATTGTGCTTACTGAGATAAAATATTATTTCAATATATACTAAATTACGATGAAAATTTTATACAAGAATTTTTTATGCTAATGTAAATACTTAATTATTCACAAAAGATTAATACCATGTTTGCCTTACAGAATAAAAGGTTTCAGATACTACCTCTTCTAACCTATTTCCACATCCATTCTAACCCATGTATGTGTATTGCTATCCAATTCAGTTTTCTGCTCTACGAGTCCCCTCGGGATCATTAAACTCACAACTTGGACTCAAGTTCGCACGATCTTTATGCTTTATTTGCAACTTTATGCTTTATTTGTTTACACAAAGCGATCGAGAATCTCTAAAGAAAAGTAGGAATTATAAATGATAGGAAAGGACTTTAGAATAACTCCAAAAAAATCTTTTCTTATTTCAGGCATCAATATTAATTGAAATGTAAAACGAAATTATTAAAATCAACACCAGCCGACTATAATTAAAATAAAGATATTATTATTAGGAATGCACCCCGATTTAAAAGATCTATTGTGCGCCGACAGGCCCAACTTAAACAATTCTAGACTATTTATAAATCTCGTAATTACTCAGGGCTTAATTTTACCTATTTTATTTTGGCCTAAGATACCGCTTCCAAGGTGTTTGAGTCTACGTCTTGCTGGGCGGTTGCTTAGAATATGTTCTGATGTTTCCTTCTCCTCATAATAGAGTCGACAGGTATCACTTATATATCAAATAAAGATATATAAACATTGGTTGTCCATAGCTTTAGTAAAGTAAGCTGCCAAAAAATTTTTACTGTTAATACTATATCTTATCTCCACTTATTTCAACAAACTTCGAAACATTCCAATCATTAATTCAAAGTATATTTTCAAAAATATGTAAATGTTTAAATATTAACCATAAGGGAATGATTAAAATAAATATTGGGTTGATGAATAAAAGTTGTACATAAATTCTTATCAAACTGATTTCAAATGCATATTTAAACTACAGTCTCTCGCAACAGTGATTGACGACTATCATTGGAGTCCACGTATATGGAAAAGTAGTCGTAGTCAACGATAGCAGTTTAGACGTGCCCAGTATACAGAAATGCATTTCTAGCTTTTTGTTATTATAGTCAAACAGTGCATTAAGCATAATCCACATTTAAATAATATTCTAGCAAAAAATATTTCTCAGTCAAAACCTTTCTGATTTTTTCTTATGTGCTTTAATTATTTTAAACCTGCACAATTACAATGTTTAGTTACAAGGTTTATATATATATATATATTTAAAATTATATATAATCAAAAAGAAAAACTAATGAATTATGTATAATTATAAAAGGCAATTCAAATAAAATAATGTTAATCGAATTAATATTAAATGTAATGCTTTGTCGAAATATATATATTAATATATAAGATAAATATATAAGATAACATATAAAATAAGTATATAAACAAACTGATCAGTTTTATACACATTTTTTTTTAATATTTTTCAATGAGAATCTTCCTCTGGTTTATTTAAGATTTATATCTTATATGCAACTCTTATTTTAAAGCTGCATCAATTACAATGTATAGATACAAGCTGTTCAAGCCTAAAAACGTTAAATTATGTAAGTCAATTCTGAATAACAAAATAATATAAATCAATTATTACATTCAATGTAATTCTTCAGAAATACATAAAATAAATTAATAACAAAAAGATCAGTTTAAATAAAACCTAATTCGGAGAGTTGTTTTAATAAAACTGGACATTCGACTTCATAGAATTTGTCACACTTTTTAACTGTTTGTACATACAATTTTTGACAATCGACTACCATATCCTCCAACTTATCTACGAGATTTGAACTAAGTTGATCAGGTAAACCTATAAAGTTTAAATATTAACATTTAATCAATATAATATCAGGACATGTAGAATAATTACCTGCCAGCTTACACAAACTTGTTGAGTTAACACCAGTTAAACCCAAAGGATATCGACGTATATCCCCTATCTTAACAAAGCCTTGATTGATAAAGTCTATGTACTCAACTTTAAATTCATTGCCATATGCACCAATCACCTTAGCCCGATACCACTCTTCTTGAAACAGAGCTAAGCAGTACTCATTTAAACTAAAAGTTAGTTATCAATAAAATTTAGAAATAAATTATATTATAATATTCACTTACACTGGCTTATAGGGCTGTCCACCTTTGTCCATTTTTGTCAAAAACATTTGCATGTTAATAAAAGAAACATAATCTTTGGCAGGAATACAGGCAAAAAGTCCCTCTCTAATGCAACTAGTGTCAATTACACACGCCAGAAAATTAGTACAATTTTCATCTAATTTTTTTATCTCAAAGGGCTGCAAAATATAAATATTTAAGTTTTAATAATTAAAATATATAATTTTTATTTGCTATTAACTTACTGGTTTGAGAACGGGAGCATTAGTGCTATTAGTGTTATTAAATTGACGCTCTTGTTGACTGGCATCATTGTGCCCTCGATTGGTCTGATAGCTAGGGTAGTTTCTTTGTGTACTTTCAGAATAATTTTGTGGATTTTGCTTTTGGTTTTCATTGCTCTGTTGTGGAATTTTGGAATTGGATATATTTCGGCTATCAGGACGTTGCTGTTGTGGCATATCATGTTGAGATTTGCGATTATGCGACTGACGGCTTTCATTTCCACTACGGCGATCATTGGTATTATCTTGAGAAACCGAATTTAAAATCTGATCAGTCACAATTTTATTTTGGTCCTGTTGGCCATTATAATTACGTTGTTGTTGTTGTTGACCATCGTTATTACGCAATTGTTGGCCATTGTTATTACGTTGTTGTTGTTGTTGCTGATCATCGTTATTGCGCTGTTGTTGGATGTTATTAATATGTGGTTCTTGACCATCTTCAACTCGTTGTTGACCGTTATTACGTTGACGTTGTCCATCATTATTCTGCTGTTGTTGCCCAAGGTACTTGCGTTGTTGTTGACCGCCTAAATTACGCTGTTGATATTTATCACTACCACGTGACACGTCATCGTTACATTGCTGCGGACCACGTTGTTTCTTTTCTTGTTGCTGATTAACTTTAAGATCTTTTAAACTCTTACCGCTACGGTCAGTGTATTGTAAGTCATAAGCGTCATAATTTTGTGAGCTTTTGTTACCAGAGTTGCCGTGCTGTTGATTTTCCTTCAAGGCACTATCTGAATTCTGTTGATTTACCCCTTTTAGGACATCGTTAGCTTGCCGATATGGCTCATTATTATCAAATTGTTCACCATGTTGTTGATCGTCATCACGTTTGAATTGATGTTGGTTACCATGACTAGATCGTTTTTTAGCATCATTATCTTGCTGTCCATCATGGTTAAATTGTTGTTTTTCTATCTTGCCATATTGACCTTTAGTTTTATGAAGTTGCGGATTTGCCTGTTCGCGTTGTAGAGAAATTCTGTCGACATCACTACTTTGTTTTGTGCCTCTTCTGGCGCGTCTACTTTTTTTGATATTTCTTTGTTTAAACTTATAAGAATTGTTAGCAGAACGTTTATCTTCTGCACACTTATTTTCCACACAACTACGTAGTTTTTGCCATGGATGTTCTACCGGCATTATTTCTTTATCAAATGCCTTTTTCAATATCAGCTTACTACACATTTTAAGAATTATATGTATTATCTTTTATTTTACATTTTTATTGTACTTACGGCATATTCCAGCATATATAACGATGAGAAGGCCAATCAAGTTTTTGGCACACGGCTGAACAATAATAATCGCCACACATCTGACAAACATAAGACGCAAATTTAGTGCACCTAACACAAGGCGACACATCTGCAGCGTCTTCAATGTTGTCAGTAAACATATTGACGATTACTTTGTAGTATAATTCCAAATTTGCAATTAATTTTTAAATTCTACTAAACTCCTACACTCCCGTAAAGTCCAGCGACGCAACAAAAACGGAAGTTTGTCAAAATGCGCGGAAAGGAAACTACAAATATAAAGTTTTCAAATTTGACACAATAAGAACAGGACTTCAACAGGGTTGTTATATCATATCATACATATTATTTTGAAAATTGAATTGGAAATTTATTTAATTTTAATATTACAAATAATAATAATAAGACAATGTTTTGTTTTCATATTTTTGATTTTTTTTAAGACAAAAATATGGACAAATAATACACACACTACGAATTTAGAACAAAAAAATGACTCCCTCTGATTTCATAGTAGCCATCTAAAAGCACAATGAACTTTGGATTGTAGAACAAGTTAGGCATACAAAAACTGCGTGTAACGCAATGATCTTAAGTGCTCGAAACAAACAAAACAGTTGTTGAATGTGCGTATGAGAGGGTTGTGATATAAGGTCTATTCCACGAGCTACTCGTAGTAACTTTGAGTAACACTGTGTATACACAAGTGCGTTTGACCAGCAAATTTTCGAGTAAATGAGAGGATCTGAGAGAGTGTAACATCCCTGTCGAAATTTGAAAATGTTATACAGTCTTTACTCGTACATTCTATTCCAAGTAACATTTGTGTCGTTGTGTGTATCAGCTGTTTTAGTTTGAATTTAAATTTTTGTATTGTTTATTTGCGCGGCACTAGTGTTCTCACCAGATCTTACACAAAGCTGTTCCATGAAAATCTGTTTAAAGAGATTAATTTGGCACTTTATTTGCGTTACGCTTTACTTGTGTTTTACTTGAGTTTTACTACTAGTAACTCGTGGAACAGACTTTATATCTATTAAAAACTTTTACAAAGAGCAAATTTTTAAAAGATTTAAGATGAAATAAATATAAAACTGAATATATAAAACCAACTCTATAAAAAGATGTTTTTATTTTTTATTTAATATTTTTACTTTTGAATGCAATTTGTGATTATATGTTATTATATTTTCTATTCGTACGTTTTGGCAATTGCACATTTAGTTGCCTCATTGAATTTGTGGATAATTGTATTGTTTTCACTTAATTAACTCGAATATTTTAATATGGTTATCACAATTAATTGCTAAACAATTAGCACATTAATTGCATAAAGTGCGTTAATTGAAATAGCGTTACCGTACTACCTGTTTAAATGAAAATATGTTGTAGAGAATTAATTTAATTTAATTAACTCATATAACTATAATATCTTAATAGACATTTATTTTAGAGTAAATATTTGTAAAATTCATATTTTATAATTTGACCTGACAACAACAACATAAAAGCTGTGATATTTTTAAAAAATAAAATATACTAAAGGAACTTATTAAATGCAAAATGAAACAAATTAAAAACTACTTCGACTCCTTGCGTTAGAACCAAACACAGAAGCTCCTCTTTAATTAAATGTTTATTTTCGATTTATCCATACCCTCAGTCCGAATGCAAAGTAATGAAATAAGTAAGATTAATGTTTTGAAGTTTGTTGAAGCGAAAGGCATCCAACACTTAAAGGTAGAATAACAGCAAAGTTTGCTCTTCTGATGAGCTACTTAACTTTTCATATCCTTAAAGCCATTTTGTGCTACTTTAACTCTTAAGGTGTTTTGCTGGAAAATATAAATAATTCGATTTCATGAACAATTTTATACAATATGAGTTAAGTTGAGAACTATGTACTTCTAATAAAACAATTTGTTAAATAAACTAAAAATATTTAATTTAGCTAAAAACTCTTATAAATCTTCCGCAATTACAAACATTGTCTTTAGTTTTTCATAAATCAACTTATCTTCAATATAAAAAGAAATTTAAACATATTTTTTTATTCAAATAATTTCAATAAACTTTGCAAAAACACATTTTTAAATAGTCCTTAATATTTACCTTTATCTACATTTAATTAGTTTACAAAATTATTGTAGTTAACAAAATAAAAATCTTACTTCTATATAAAACTATTACACTAAGCCATGTTCATTATTGCATTAATTATCCTTAATACTTTCCTAAGCATTTTATGCAAACCTAAAGAAAACGTTGTGTATAGTACGCAGTAAACTGTGGATTTTTTCCATTGTCCTTTGGCGATGCTTAAGGCAAACAATTTAGATGAAAATCTAAAATTAAAATTTGTGCAAACCAATGAAAAGGAATTTGCACTTAACAACTTTTTACTTATTTTGGGCTGTTTTAACCTATCAACATGGCCCGCAGTGCCCAACAAATACTAGATTTTTTCTTTGATTCTAATCACTAGGACAAATCTGATCCGAAATTCATAGTCACGCTAAATGCTTTCGATTAATAAATTGTCAGGCATAGGAATATAGGAATAGTTTAAGTTCGGAAAACTTTCGTTCAATAATGTGAGTTTTTCTTCTGAAAATACATAAGCCAGTACAACTGGCGACTGACAAAAGGCTAATTTTGTTGTGATTTTCTTTTCATTGTAGACTCCTCTGAATATCCTGAACGCTTAAACGAAATGTATTTTCCTCCTTTCTAGCAACAGACAACGACTTTGTTAAGTTTGTCTTATGACCATTAAAGCTGCTATTGTTTGCAGATATTTTATTTTTAATCTCTTTTCTGCAGAATTGCTTCAAAGAGAAACTTAAAATAAAACTTAATTAGAGTTTCAGTTGATAAGGAGATTTTAAAAGAATTAAAATTTGGAATTTCACAAAATATTCACAATTTCTGTTTATATAAAAAAGATATCTCAGCGTCCTGCTTCGAGTTTGGCAATGGAAAAAGAGTTTGGCGTTACTATCTGCGCTTCCATTAGAGTTATTGCTTCAACACCAAATGCAGTAAACTTCAAAGTTTGCGTATTTAATTAAATTCCAACGCAATTTGTTATATTATAACAATATTTAGAATCTAAAATATTATATTTTGAATAGTTTAATATTATACCCTAAGAACTTTATTGCTACACTAGACTGTATTATTTGTAGTTATTTATGCCATTAAAAAACCGAATAATCAGATTTGAGTTTCTTTACTTATAGTCAAACAGCAATCAAGTTCTTGTCCTATATCGCATCTATGAACAAAATCAATAGAAGTAACCCTACATTATTTATTTGAATACTAGAACATAGAAGATCTTAATTTCTACATCACATTTGTTATCTACATGAACTTAAACTACATACCTATACATATCTATAGTACTATGATGTACTAATATTACTATAAAATCACAAGAATAAGATAGTAAAATGAGATCAGTTTCCTTTACCAAAACTGTACATATTAAGTTGTAAAATGAAAGCAACTTCACCAAAACTAAACAAATCTAGCCACAAATTAATCTATCTACGAGTACAAAAAGCAATTAATTAACTTATATAAAACATATCGGTCACATTTTCGCTCTTATATTTGAGCATTACCGGATAGACAAGCAATATGAATTTTAATGACTTCTAACTATTGATTTTTCGGTCTACGCCGGAAGAATAACGAAGAATTGTGAATAAGATTTTGTACAGAGAATTAGTTTAAAAAAAACTGTTCTATATTTCTTGAAAAAATTAGCTACGGAGACCTCCTATAAATTATTACACACTTAATATCGAAAGCATTTTAAAAGAGATTTTCTTTCTTTATACTTTATACTCTTTATCATCCAAGACCACTGATGATGGGTATTTGGCAATACTCGAAACAGCTGTATGGTCAGCCAAAAATTTAATTAATTAAAATAAAATAAAAAAAAAAATTTTTTTTGTTGTATTTCACTACTGTTCGAAAAAACCTCTTTATAAATATTTATTTAAATAATTACTTTCAGTATTTTGAAATTGAACTTATGTTATTTATGTAGCACAATGGATTTATAGGCCTAAGTGGATCCCTCTAGGATCGCTGGTATAACCTAACCTATGTTTGTTATATACAAGAGTAAGTGTTATTCTGCAATTCTACTTTTTCATAGCTGTAGTAAAGTAGAAAGTAGTTCCAAAAAGAAAAAGGAAGTTGTGGAATATATTGATGCCTAAAATGCTATTTAGTGTCAGATCCTGTAATTGGTCAAAATCCTTAAGAAAGGATTTTAGGATTTAGGGGGCTCCTAAAGTATTGAGTCGCCGCCGTGCATGAGCTGTGCAAAAACATAGTAGATGAGAAGCACTCTCGTCGTCTTCACCACAACTGCGGCAGATTTATGACCTAATCTTCTAGCATGGTTCCCTAGTTTACAGTGACCTATAATTAAACCCACCAAAAGACTGATATATCTACGGGATAACTCAATTAAAATTTTGGATTTCCTTTTAGCGGCGTGTGCCTGCATATCATTGAGTCTTCCCAACTTCTATTTAATGTGTTATTAAGTTATGATTAATATGTTATGGCTATATTACGAAGATATGTATTTGCGTTCTGATCTTATATGAATTGACCTTTAAGTATCTTCACTGTTGTATTTTGAATGAGTTAAATTCATTAAACAACTGGATTGTAACTGGATTGTTTTTTCTTTTTCAAGTATATAAATTAAAAGGTTTAGAAATTTAGGTCTTTCCATATAGTATATCTGCAAGTACCGAACAATGTTTGCTATAATTCTCAATAGTTAATATATGCTCTTATAAAATTTTGTTTACAGATAAGCAGAAATCTAATGTTAAATTACCTGATTAGAATGAAAATTAATTATTTAAATAGTTTTTAATTAAGAAATTCTAAATACTTTAATTCTAAATAGAGAATTTTTTAAAAACATAAAAATACAAAAATGGATAATAATTATTATTCAGAAATATGTCATTTCTACTCACGCTGTGTTATTAAAAAGTTATAAAAATGTTCCATTCAGATACTTTATTATTAAATTCACGTCACATCAATTTATCTGTGCTACATCAGTAAGTAACTACATTAAACTAAGTGCAAATAGGTCAACTAAGTCAAATTAGTTTTGACATTTTTCAGTATCAATTTGAGTTAAAGCATTTCTATGACTCTATGTTATCCATCAATTAAAATTTTTAATGCAATTAGTTGTTATGGTCTCATCCACTGAAAGTATCTAATTTTTATAACATATTAGGGCTATAAAAAATTAATTTAATTACGCTATTAAGAATTATTTTGGCTACATTATATGATAAAGATATTTAAAACATAGATAAAGATGTGTCTTTAAAATGATTAATAATCAAAAATTAATATTAAGTATAACAGAATTATTTAATTAATAATTTGTATATAAAATATTTGTTTTCTTTTCAGTTCATACTTTTTTTTTTGGTATTTTTTTAAAATTTCCTCTTACATAAAGTTCAAATTTTATGTGTGTCCTGGATATGCATTCAGCAGGTGACATCTCCATAACTCTTAGATTGAGTGGAAAATAAAATTTATATGTAAAAAGTTTCTGAACATAAAAATCAATCAATATAGAGCTAAACATGTTTAGTACTAATGTGGACTTTATTACACATTGAAAGAGTAAGCACATATGTTAAAGGACTTGTTGTGCTAGAGCAGTGTTTCGCAAACTATGCTCGGTGGATCACTCAGAGCTCCACAAAAGAATTCCCAATGCACCGCAAAAAAGCAAAATATATGGTGTTTGTATATGCAGTTTGTAATCGCGATATAAAATTTACTGTTCCAATATGAAAAGTGCTGCGTGCCGGAAAAAGTTTGAGGAACTCTGTATACGAGTGCAAATAAAATATAAAACACAAAAATCTGTCTAAAATCACAGAAAAATATTGGTTTTTCTTTTTAGTTGAAACACATGCATACTCTCATAAAGGAAACGACTTACATAAAGAGACATAAGGAACATTAAGGAGTACATTTTATGGCCAGATACTCCTGTTTACGTGTACCTCGTATACAATACAAACACCTATTTTCACCTGAACCATTTGTTTACTGTCATTGCATTCATTTCCGGACTTGAATTTGTTAAAGGCGACAGTAAGTGCGTGCGTTGATGTTTTTCATCAGTATTTACAGAGTCTTACTTAATAAATAAGAGGAAAGCAAATAAGTAAGGCAATAATTCAAAGAAAAAGAGCTTCTCTCAGAGAATATCCCTGATTTCATCAAATTTATTTTAATGTATTGAGTTGATTTAAGACTTGTTTTATTACTATTATCATTTTTTTTATTTACATCTTCATCAACAATTTAATTAAATAAATTCGTTTTTCTTTATTTGCAGTTTGCTTCGCTGGTCCACATGAGAAACGTCTACTACATTCACTTTTGGACAACTACAACAGCCTGGAAAGGCCTGTAGTCAACGAATCCGATCCATTACAGTTAAGTTTCGGCTTAACGCTTATGCAAATCATTGATGTGGTAAGTAAATATTTCCTTAATTTAATTACAGTTTGTTTAAAGATATAAGATATGCTCAACACTTATTTGATATACTTACTTCATCAATGTATTTACATTGCAATTAGTTAAATAAAAAGTTGATACATACGTATGACCCGCATTTGTTGAATTATCTTAATTAAATGTGGAATTAATGTTATGTTAAAATAGAATGGTGACGGTAACACCTGTTAAATAGAGTATGCAGCTAACAGTTTCTATTAAATAGTAAATAAACTGTTGCAAATGAAATAGATTTTCTGAATTACAATAAAAAAATTATATCATTTATTAATTACAGTGAAACTTCCATTACTCGAAATCCAATTTTGCAAAGAAAAAGTTCGACTTATGGAGACTTCGAGTTAGAGAATTTTTTTATTTTTTTTATTTTTGAAACTAGAATAATATTTCAAGATTTTTACTTATTTTCAATCAAATAAAGCACAGAAGTTATAGTGAAGTAAAATATTCAGAAATTTGTGTTAGGGTTATTTTCAGTAAAAAGAGATTCCACTTTATTCATACTCTTATCACTATCACTTGTAGTATCATTCGTTTGCAAATATAAATTCAGAATTTTTAATGAGTCTTCTACTTCATTTTTGAAAGGCTGATAAACAATTACATCCACCCAAACCTCATCATCACTTTCCGTTGCGCTTAGAATTGGATCCACTAACTCAAAGATATAATGTTCCATAATATCGTCATCTGTAAGAAAGCTTGATGTACAAATTTCATTGTCAAGTTCAATATAATCGTTAAGAGTAGCATTGGAAGTTATTTTATTTACTTTAAACCATGTTGCCACGACTGGCATTTGCATAAAGAAGCAGCATAAAAAAAGGAAAATCAAACATTTGGTTTGGAAAAAGGGACTTCATTAAAACCATTTATGAATTCGTAATAAATACAAAATTTCGACTTATAGAATGCACTTTTCCACATTCCTATTGGCACGTGACAATATTTTTATTCGAGTTATAGAAAAATTTCGAGTTATAGAGAAATTCAAGTTATAGAAGTTTGAGTTATGGAAGCAGAATTATATGTAATTTGCTCTCTAAAACCTTGGTGCACTAATTTTGGTTCAAACCATAGAAAATTGGAGTTATAGAAGTTTGAGTTATGGAAGTTTGACTGTAATTGAATTTCGGATTGTCCATATAGCTGTTTGTTGTTAGAGAGATTTCGCAAAGTAGTGCACTACAACAACAAAAATTGTTATTTGTTGTTGTAATTCACAACTATTAAAGAAAAAAAATTCTCTATTAGAACAGTATATTAAAAAACATGGTTTCTGTCGTAATAATTGATTTTAACAATTAAAATATGTTTTCATTGAGTAGAATTTTTTATGGCTACATAAAGCAAACTATTTATTTAATATATAAAAAGGTTTTCCTAACATTTCAATATAAAAATTATTTTCAATTAATTAATTTATTCCCTTGGCTTTACTAGATTCCTTGCAGTTTATAAATTTTGTTTCCTTATAGTATTTTTGTCTTAAAATACACCCTCATGGCTTTCAAATTTATAACTTTAATCAATTAAGTAGATTCAGTACCTGTTCTCTTGAAATTTTACTCTGTACTTATTGAGACAAAATTGCAGAAATGTATAATATTAATGACATTCCATCCCCAAAAATTTAATAGATTAAGTAATACAAATTTACTTTTCTTTTCGTGTTTGAAGAAAGTTTCCCAAAGTACATAAGCCTAACGTGAATTTATTTATCCTTTAATGACAAGTACCTTTATAGTATTGGAATAAATACGAGCAGTACTGACTACTTAAAAGAAAAATATTTTTATACTTTGAATAATTCAAGCGTGTCCTTAATATAGTCCTTTAAATGAGGGATTTATGCCCTTATATTTACAATCAACTCAGGCAAAAGTTTGGGTATAGCAAATTTACAACTGCCGTAGGTAAGCAATTTGAGGCTTTATTTATGTATGAAGATTTTTCAACACCTTTAATATCAAAAATTGCTTAAGGATATTACAAGGTTATTTTTTTTTTTTGGGGATGTGTTCTCTTTGACAAACTCATGTTTGGAAATTATGCAGCCAAAAAAAAAACTTCATATGACAAAAAATTGCACACTGACGGAAGTAATAAAGTACGCAAGAACGGAACAGGAAAGGAAAAGGTTAGCTTTATTAGGCAATTACGGACAGAAATAAATTTCATGAATAGAAAAATATAAGGATAAATTATAGTTAGAATTCAGAAGTAACTTAATTTAATTTTACTTAAAGTAAAGCAGATATTCTTATCAAGTACTTCACCAGAGTTTATTTAAAATTCTTATTTCAATAAAAATTATAGAGATTAAATATACGTTTTTATATATAAAATTAAACTAAATAAATTTATTATTTAAAATTGTTAAATTTTATTAAGATATGTTATACTTCTTGCAAGCCATTAAATCTAACAAAATACAATATTAAAATTTATTTAATTAAATAAATTATGAAGTTAGATATGTTATACTTTTAAATATCCAAAAAGTCAGTTCGATTTAAAAAAACAATACAAGTTTTCTAATACTATTTATTATTATTGAAAAAGAAGGGATAGTGGACCGTGACCTAAAAGATCTATTGTGCTCCTTAGTCGGATTAGAGTGTCTCTTCAAGTCCTATTTTTTTTTTGAAAGACAATATAGAGGCTATCTAGTCTTGGATCCTTATGGTTTATGAAAAACCCTCCTAGGTGTTTCTTCCGCTTGTGCATCAGTCCCGGGTACTCCCCAAGCACATGTAATGCAGTTTCTCTGTCTTCTCTACAGTATTTGTAGTCTGAGTTGGATTGATCTCTAATTTTAATAAAATGTAGAAATGATTGAAACACTTTTCCTAGCTCAAATTCATTTATAAATTTAATAAAATTAAGAAAAAAAATTGGTCTACATTAAACAAAATTGCATCCACCAAAGTTATACATTTTTGATCAATAACTATTATTAATCGATTAGTTTTCTGTAAAACTAATCAACTATTAAACAAAATACTTAGACCACTTTGCCTTTGAAGAATATCTTTATTATTTTTAATTTGGATTTTAATCTTTTATGCCATATAACTCTAGGTTGAAGAAATTTTGCAATAATTCAAAAAATAATATAATTTCAATTCCCTTTAAACTTTTCACTAAATGTGGAACTGTATAAATGAATCTCAAGCCCAATTGCACCTTGGTATAAAATCTACCATCTACCATCTTTCAAGCTGTCACCTCCCGAATGATGAAGGTGTTAAAAAGTAAACGTTTCACTTCTCACTCGATGCAAGCACCTTGAGTGCAATGTCGAGGTTGAGGCTAATGGCGAAGAAGACAGAGGTGCAGCAGTAAAGCAAAGGTAAAGAATAAAGAAATGTGAGAATGCAGATGAGAGATAAATTGTGAAATATGTCAGTTTTGGGGGTTATCCCTCATATACGTACTGCGAAAAAAAATTTAAATTCTTTTTAAAAATAAAGCTTAAATTCATTGTTATTAAATTGAATGATCTATAGATTTAAAAATTAATAAAATATATATTTTATTCTATTTTTAATCGTTTACTTTTATTAATCCCTTCATTTGGGCTCTAAAAATCAAAAATATTTGCAATACTATGAAAACATATTTTCAAAAATATTTCAACTCTGTATCAGAGATAATAATTTTAATAATACAATAAGTATTAAGTTATAAAGTGGAGAACTAAATAGCACCGTGAAAAAAAAGTGATACGAACTACAGTTCCATTTTTCAGATTTTTCAGATATTATTTAATATTTATTGAATTTTGATATGAAACATCGGTAAATTAAATCACTTTTACATATTGTAACTCATACTTAATAAAAAGGAAAGGTCACGCACTTATTTACATTCGTATTTTGTTCATCATAAAGTGAGTTCATGTTCTCATGTCATGTCACTCACTCATCTGCTGTGTAAGCATTACTAGGGCCATCATCAATAGTAGCAGGAAAACATTCAACCGACTTTCCTCTTATTTACACGGTAGCCTGAATTTTCGTTGAATCTGTAATAGTGACATCCGACAAAAATTTTGGACTTTTCACAGATGAAATGAAATGTTGACACATACAAGTAAAACATGACAAATATGAAGCTCAACATTTTTTGTAACACAAAAATTGGGAAAAAATCACCAAAAACATGCTTCCAAAAATGTTAGTTCATCTAACTATGAAAGAGAAAAATACTTTTCAAATATTTGAGTTGAAAGCTCAATTTTTTGGAAAAGAAACATTTTCACCTTCACAATTTCAAAATTTAAAATTCAAAACTGAGAATCGAAATTTTCCATTTTAGACTTGCACAGGTATAAGTTCCTGTCATAATCCGCAAACATAACTGGCGTATGTCCTTTTTACAAATCTCATTCATAAACACATGGATGTGTATTTCACATGCAAGCATATATGCAAAAATGGTTTTCTATATGCATAATTCGAAATCATTTCTATAAAGATATACGAATAAAAAAACAAATGTTTATTCGACTAATTCATTAAACATATGTCTATCTACTTATATATTCATACACTCGTAGAAGAACAGAAATTGCCTTTCCGTGTCTTCGCTACCAAAAGGATGTCTTTTATTGTTGGAATTGCTTCTCTGCAACAATAAATAAATTAGTTTTGAATGAGTTTTGTTGCTTTTTGTTCTTCTCAAGTTTCATTGATTCACAAACATATCACGTATTTGATCTTTTGCTTTAATACTTGATTTATGTAATGTTATCATCACTTTCAGGAAAGGAAACATAAAGTTATGTTTATATTAATACGGATGTGCTAACACATCGGAGAGATTTTAATATCATTTGCGAATCAAATTTGGTTGACGTTAAGTTTTTGAATAACCAGAAAAATGTATTTTTAATGTTAGTAAATACTCATTTTTTATTTATTAATTTTGAAATTTATCAAAAAATGATT